TGAAGCCGCGATTATTTTAATCGCGGCTTCATTTCCCTCTGCCGATCTGGCTAATCTACATGCCTCCGTCGACGGAGGCATGTAGTCTAGACACACCCACTAAGTCCTAACCTGATGCCCTGCCGGCACTGGTTCCAGCCAGCCTTAGCTTCAGTTCAAGGTCCACTCAGTGTGGACTTGCTATTTTGAAATAGCAAAATGCTATTTCAAAATATTTTTTGTGTCTAGATGCGTTATTTCAAATTAGCTTAATTCGAATTAACTATTTCGAATTAAGTTAATTCGAAATAGCACTTTAGTGTAGACATACCCTGAGTTATTCCATGGGCATTTCAGGCTCTGGGAAGGAGGAATGTGCCTTGGAGATGTCGTTCTTCCACCTCAGGCCCCAGAATTGGTCAGACCTGGGAATGTGGCCTTTGTGTGCGAGGCAGAGGACTATCAGGAGGCAGTTTCAAAGCAGGAGGAGCTGCGGAGGAGAAGGCTCTTGCGCCAAGCACCAAAGCTCCTTGAGGGGCAGTTCAGAAGTACACGCATATTGCTGCTTTTCCTGTCTCCTTGAAACAACTGTCGGAGGCTTCGATAAACTCTTTCAGTGCAAATGTTATTTGCACAGTTAGGGCCTGTGTTCTCCAGGATTGGTCTTGTCTCAAACAACTGAACACTAACTGCTTGTGGCTCTGTTTTCAGGTTGCAGAGGAAAGCACGGCCAGATTCCTAAAGCAACAGACATCGCTAGCACGTAAGTTTGCCCGTCTTTCCTTCTGTTCACTCAGGTGCCCGCTGAGGGCGGTGCCTGCCACCACACGTTCCTCTCGGCTGCTAAATGTAGAAGCAGCATTGAAATGCAATGTCTCTTTAACCGGCCGGCCCCCAGGATGTTCGAGACTGCGTGGGTGAGATGAACTCACAAGAGTTTCTTTCTCATCTGTGAAGTTGGTCCAATGAAAATTGTTACCACACCCGCCCTCTCTCTGAACGGAAATGCACTTTCCCAAGGCACCACCCTTCCCTGCTAACAACTGAGGTGGGGGTGGGGAACATTTTTGGGGTGGAGACCACTGGCCCATGGAAAAATCGAGTGGGAAGCAAAAAAAAAAGAAAAAAGAAGTAAATAAATAAATCACTCACTGACGTGGCCCCCACCTGAGGAGAAAGACATTCCCCACATTCCCGTCCCACACAAAAGCCTAGGGGGGCCCAGCCTAGTAGATCTTGTGTGCTCCAGCCCCGCAGTAGTGGGACTGGAGCGCCAGCACAGACTCCCCAATGCTGAGGGGGACCCTGAGCCTCGGGGGCCGGATCCAGGCAAGCCAGAGGCTGCATCCTGCCCCTAGGCCACATCCTGCCCTCACCCCTGTACAAAGGATTCCAAGGAATGTAAATTCCTGTGTAATGACCTATGAGAGAGAGATGACCCATACACACAAAACATCTGGAGACAGAGTCTGAGAAACATGGTAGAAGAAACACAGGAGGGATTGGGCAAAG